AAATTATATGATGATAGACAAGCCAACAACTTCAAACAAAAAAGAAAGAAAAAACGAAAACAACATTTACATTGATGGAAATTGGAAGATAAAAAATTTATTGAAATTCAGAACCATTCATTAATAGAGTTGGGTGATCAATATCTCATGAGATCCAACTCGAATATCATTGATATCAACGAAACTGTGCTCAGATCGATAACGAAAACTGGGATTAAAGCTATGGACGCATTCAAATTTCTTGCTATGAAAGTTGGCAGAGCAAAGAAATGGGAAGAAATTGGGATTGTAAAAAAGAAATGCATTCAATTTTATTCAAAAGGATGGAAGAAGAATGAGAATTCAAAAATGGTGACATTAATGCTTTTATACAAATATCCACAGAAAAGTAAGCTGCAGCTATTATGTTTGCATGTGACTTCCAGATTGATGATTCTGGTAGGTTAATGAGCTTTTTTTAGCAATGACATGTTGAGAGTCAACTATGACTGCTTTGGAGATGTAATTTTTGATATAATTTACAGTAGTTTATGCACAATTTTTAGGTGTTAACCATCACCGACAAAATATACTTTTTGAAGTAGGGTTTTTATCAGACTAGACAATTAAATTCTTCAAGTGGTTATTAAAAACATTTTTTTGTATAAAATAAGAAATTTTTTTTGTATATTTAGTGATTAGAATCAAGAAATGACAAGAGCTATAAAGGACACATTTCCTCATACTTGTTATTGATTATGCTAGTGGAATATTTAAGAAATTTCCTTCAAGGGTACATTGCTCCACTAGTAATATAGTAATAAATAATCCATTTTATACATGTATGAGTAAATGTGATTTTGAAGAGGAGCTCGAGCAAACTTGGGTTGAGATGCTTACTAGAAGGAAGATACACGATAACATTTGGTTAGATGAGTTTAAAAATAATGTATATCATGGCATCTCCAAAGCTACAAGCTTTATCACTAATTATTTTGTAGGACTTGAGAATGCCGTGTTAACATAGAGACAAAATAAGAGGAATGAAGATTTCAGATACGCTTAATTTGCAATTGTGCTAGTTGCTAAATGAAGGCATGTGTTGAGAGAAGCTATTTCATATGTTAACATGGAGACAAAATAAGAGGAATGAAGATTTCCGATATGCTTAATTTGCAATTGTGCTAGTTTCTAAATGAAGGCATGTGTTGAGAGAAGCTATTTCATTCTATTCAAAAAGTCGTACTCATTTTTTTAAGAAGAATTTCTACATGGGGTAAGTGGGCTTGCTGTGTAGTTATGTGTTCATTCCCTTTGAAATATTTCATTTAAAATTTGGATAATAAAGAAATTACCAAATATTAGATTATTAAATTTGATAAAGTAACACTTGATATAAGTTGTAACTATAAAAAAATTGAAATGATTGTTTTATTATGTGCCCACTATATTAGAGTTATAAGCCATGAAAATATAATGAAGATTTCAAACAAATATCTCCCCATGTGATGGCCTTTAGGTGCTAAGAAAGACCTCTTTTGGAAATAATTACAAATCATTCAAGGTGTTGCAGGTGAAGAATGGTTACTTAAGTTGTATTTTATTTGAACCCATGTCCATAAATACTCATATCAAATAAGCTTAAAGGCTCAAGACAATCAAGAGGATGAATAATACATGTTGGAGTTATTGAATAAATTGTAGGATATTGTTGACTCAATATGAAGTGGGAAATCACCTCAAATGAATCATAAGCCTAGGAAAAAAAAATAGACCCACAAGAAAGAATGCATTTTGAATCTAAATGACCTGCGGCCGAAGGGTGTATCTAATGCCAGGTTAAAAATGCATTTGGAGAAAAAAAAAGAGATGAAGGTAAAAATTAAAATTGCTAATAATTTGCTGCAACAATTCTCTCATGATTACCATGATGTTGCTTTAACCTTTTGTATATTTTACATCATAAGACAAGAGAAAGAACCTTTAATAGTTGAAGTAGAAATTTCATCCCTATGTGCTACCCATCTATGTCATTACCAGATTGTTCCATGGTGGTATTAGGGTAGTATTGGTTTGAACTTGTTGAGGTTTTGGGGGTGGTGCAATGTTGATGATATTTGAGCGATATTGATGTGGTATTGGGTGATATTGGGGTAGTATTAGTTTGACCTTATTGAGGTTTTGGGGTTGGTTCAATCTTTATGGTATTAGGGTGGTATTGGGTGATATTGGGGTAGTATTAGTTTGACCTTATTGAGGTTTTGGGGTTGGTTCAATCTTTATTGCGGGGGAGGGGGTGGCATTCTTGGGAAGATATTGATGAGAATAAGGGTTTTTGGATGAGAATAGGGTTTTTGGATGAGAATAGGGTTTTTCAGAGAAGATAATGATTGGGGTGGCTTTGGATTGATATTGGGGTGGTATTAGGCTGGTTTTCAGGAGAAGATATTAATTGGGTGGTACTGGGGGGATATTGGGGGGG